CGCCAAAATGGATGATTACACCAGGAAATAACTGAGAGGCACTGGGATGTATAAACGCACCCAGGTGATTGATAAAACATCCGGACTCCCCAACACTAGATCAAACTCACATCCGGATATTTCTCTCTGTATCCACCTTCATTTGCATGTTGCCCTTTGCATTCTGAATTGATAGCTCTTTTCTGGCAAACATTTTGGATATTACAAAGCCAACCAGATGAGGAGGGGTTTGACTCTCCAATCTCATATTCACCTCCCATACTTTCTGGGTCTCATTCAGGAAAACCTAGAACTAATGATTAAAAAAAAAAAAAACCTGAACTGAACTAAACTGAATCTATCTTTCAGAGATGGAATATAGCACCAATTAAACTTAAGATTAATTTTTTTCTACAAATAAGGAAAGTTCACAGAAGGAAAGAAGGAAACAGGGAAAGTAGAGAATAAGGAAAACAAAATAATACATTATATGTACAGAATTTTATTATGAAAAGTGTGTATAATTACCTTTTTTCCTAGCTTGATTTGAGGCAGGGATGGATCTCAAGATTTTGCTTTTCATAATGCTCTTTGAAGTTCTCTTTTCAAGAGTAGAAAATGTCTTGAATGGTGAGCTGGGTTTGCCATAGTCTGAGCTCCTCACTGATGCATATAATCCACTCTGGGGTGTTCTTTTAAACAAGGAAGGGCACTTCTGTCCTTCCTGTGTGGTAGCTGTGTACCAGTCCCAGCCCCTGCTTCTCCAGAAATCAGTCGAGATCTAAAAGTCTGTGCACAAGTACAAACTCTTCAGTACTTAAACATCAGTGACAGTTGTAAATATGATTTAACAGATGGCAAAACCTTAGTGATTACTGAAGAACACGGTTTGTAGAAGGCAAGCAATGATATTCAATTTCTCCAAGCCTAATTCATCAGAATTTTAGTATTCTGAAGGAGTAAAAAAAAGCAAAATAATAAAACAAAATAGGCTTGCCAGACAGCAAGACATGTAATTACAAGAATGAACATGGAGGAGAGTGGTGAATAGCACAGCTGAAATGACTTAAAGTCTTATATTTTTTTCTCCAGCTTTCTCAAGGTAAAAGCTGATTAGCACCCTGCCTTATTCCACAAGGAACTGAAGGTAGTTTATGGTTAGTTTATGGTAAACACATAGATCAAAACCGTAAAATAAAAATGCAATACTGGGGTCACAGAGACTATAAATCAGAATAAATCAAGAACACAGAAACAAGGAACAGTGAAGTATAAGTTTCTCAACAGTCGCTAACAGCATTTATATGAAATGCCAACTCACCTTTTGCAAAACACATAGGGTTAAGATTGAATAAAAAGCACTAGAATAAACTTAATTTTCTTATGTTACTCAAATTCTGGACTATGTTTATTTAAAAAATAAAAAATGTAAAGAATGGCTTCTAAATGAAAGTTAATGCTACAGTGGCATTTTAAAATCTGGGGAAAACAGGATGTTGTAACAGCTACTGCTCACAGATACCCAGGATCCACGTGGAGTTTAGTCTGTAATCAGTCCCGCTGGCTCACGAAGTACATACCTATCAGCAGTATTTATGTAACTTCTTTTATCACTATGTCAATTCAATATAAACTATAAACACTTACCTTATGTATTTTGTCATCCTCGGGTAATTATCAAGGACTAACAGATTTTTTTTCTTCAAAATATAAAGGTACATTTTATCTATTTGTTCTTCCACAGTATTTACTCTTGGACAGTTATTTTCTGTACCTTCATTTGTTGACTTTTGTAACACTATATGCTCTTCATTTTTGTCCAAAAATTGATTCACATTTTGTGCTTCTTGAGACATAACATTTGGATTCATCTTAAGGGGTGAAGGGTTAACAAATTCAGCTTCTTTATTCTCAGCCAGTTTCTTATAGCTATAAAACAAAACAGGACACAGAGGATGAACCCTGTATGACTCCTCAAAATTAACATATATGTTTACACATGATATACAAGAAAACACATTTAATTATTAACATATATAATACTATTAAATATATTTAATACCTGTAACTCTCAAATTAGGTCATTAATGTTAAATATATTACAATTCTGGTTAACAGAATATACTCACATAGTGTCACATAATTGTTTTAAACTTCAGATAATAATTTTAATACAGTATAATATTAGGGATTTCATGGTTGACTTGAAGACCTACTTCAAAGGAAAGCCAAACCAAATAAGACTGAGATTGCTTTTGTTTAAGAAAAATAAAAAATGAATCTAAATGGCCCTTTTGTAATATATCTTTTATCCATATTATAAAGTCAACATACATTTGAGGCAGGAAAAACATGTCATACATTTCCAGTAGAAACTAAAGAAGCAACCATAATTTACATCAATGAAGCATAAAATATAAATATTAAAATGCATGAATTTCATCACAGTGTAAGAAAATCTTAAAACAAAATCACTAGGATTTTTAAATGAAATCATTCCTGTGGCTTAAAATACTTCAATGCAATGTAACATTTCAGAACATTACATTTTTAAAATATGAGAAATACCCCTTAAGGAAATGTTATAAATGTGGGTGAACATCAGCATATTATGGGAGCTCCAAAAATACAGATATTGTCATTTTCAAATCACCTTAATCATGGTCAATGAGGTCACTTCATTTTGTAATTTATAAAATAAGATTACAAAAAATTTAAGAGGCTACCGATTCAATGAGGTAGATTGGCTTCTCAACAATTGCTAGAAATAACTGTGAGAAGTAGCTGGGATGGTCAGAAAACCTAAGCGCCCTTCCTTCTTCGTGGCGCCGGCCACTCACTAACACTGATGCCCATGCATTGCCCCTCACCAGCTGAACCGCACTCCACTCGGCCTCCAGTCTACACGGGGCCATCACCAGTTCTGTCCCTTAGAATGTGAGGTGACGGTGACCAGAAGTTAAAATTCGTGTCATGGGCTTAGTGGTCAGGTTCTGGGTGGCAAGGAAACTGATGTAGAGGCTGGAGAGGGGCAAACTCACATTTTATGAAAAGTGACAAAACATTTGCTAAGCTGTCACCTACAGTGGTTCACAAGGCCGACCACTGGCGCCTGAGCCTGGGGCCCTCGGCAGAGTCTGAGAACGGCAGGAGAGGACAGGGAGTGTTGAAGTGCCGGCAACTACTGGCTACTGCTGGCAAGATACTATGTGAAACAGATGAGCTCAAGACAGAATGGGCTGGTCTTTAATGAAGGAATCCAAGGGAACAGAGTCTAGAAACTCAGGGCCTCTTAGGTTCACTCTCTGCCTCTGGACTCAAACAGTAAGATTCAGCACTGAAAAATGCTGTGAAAAAGCAGGATTTCATGAGAACTCCTGGTTGAAGAGTGACTCAGTTCCTTGGCAAATATCACATTAGAGGTGTCATCTTCAAACTTAAGATTATTGCTCCTCATAATAACCAGACAGCTGCAATTAAACTGAGAAAAAAACCAACAAAAACTAATGTTCTGTAATCATAGTTACTGGCACATGGGACTGCCTGGAACCAAACATATCAGAAGCATAAAAACTTTTTGAAGGAGCTGTGATGACAAAGAAACCACAACTCTACTTAAAAAAAAAAAAGCTAGAGACTTGTCTGGCAGCCTTAGAACCACCTAACTGCAGGCAGAAAGCGGGTGGAGAAGAGTGCATTCTCAATGGACGTCCCCTCCCCCCAAAACCCACATCGGTTGAAGCAAGTGGTGAAGGGACACAAGACCACTGGAACCAGGAGCTCCATGGAACAACACATTTATAAAGCAGTTCCTCCTTAAGAGCAGAATAATGGCCTAATTAAGGAAAATGCCCAACTTGAAGGTAGGGGGTCTTCCTTAGGTCTTTCAGTGGCTTTCAATTCTGTGTTACTGATTGCAGTAGCTTCCTTACTCTTTCCTTTCTGGATAGGAGTGTTCTTGCAGATTCACTGTCATATACGGGGTGAAGTAGGAAGTGACTTGGCTTTCAATTCACTGATTAGTAGACAATGAGGAGCTACACCGAAACCTGACAAAGAGAACCATGCTTCACCTGGAAATCCTTACCATTCTGAATGGGACTCTGGGCTGTTTGCTTTGGGGAGGGGCTGAGTAGGTCTTTGTTCAAGGAAGAGTAGACAGGATATCTGGCTGATAGAAGGGGAGTTTCTGGTAAAGACTGGCTAGACACCTACCAAATGCATTTACATTTCTTTCTGGGCACACAAGCAAACCACACTTCCTACCCCTCTTGGACCTAGTTTAGCTGGATGTGCTGGTTCTTGCCAACACAATGTGGGCTGAAGGGAGGTAACACTCCTGTGATTAGGCAGTTAAAAGGAAGCATGCTAACCATCTATTTCCTTTCCTTATTGACTGAAAAGGCCAGGAGGACCTCAAAACCATGTGTTGATGACAGAAAGCCTCCTGGGTCCCTAAATGACTATGTGGAGCAGAGTCCCACTCCAACTCCACTGAGACATGCGGAATTAGGATGTGAGAAAGACAGAAATTGCTGATGATATTAAACTACTGAAATTTCAAGGACTATTTGTTACAGCAGCTAGGATTACTTATCCTATGGTTTACTAAAGGGTTTTTGGATACGCGTACTCAACTTTCTACTACTGACACTCCTATAATTATTGTTATGCCTTTAATTTAAGTATACTTCTTTTCAGCTTTTAAGAACCAACATAAACATCTCTATTTAGAATTCACATTACTAAAATTGTGTCAGTTATGCCAACAAAGACACAAGATGTGTAGAAAAATCCCTTCAGTGACCCAAGTGTAGCCCCAAACAGCAGTGATAAGGGAGCCCAATTAGCCCCATAAAAACACTAACTATCACCACAGACCAGGGGAGAATGCTAGACTCAGCAGTCAAGTAGACAGGGTTTAGGGTGAGCCACAGCACATCCCTTTCTCTCAACTAGCACACGCAGTTCAAACAAGGCCAGGAGATCACTGCAGGTGGATTTCATGATGAGCATGGGGTTCAAGGAGGGGCTCAAAAACTTGTCTGTTGAAAACACAAATGAACAAATGATACAAGAATGGATGACAGGCTTTTCACAGAAATATTTCATGGAGTTCAAAGACCTCACAATCCAACTGCATTGCTGGGTTACGGCCATGTGATCTTGAACAATTTATTTAACCTCTTTAAGCCTAGGTTTCTTATCTATGAAATGGGGATGATAGTGGAGACTATACCTCATGAAGCTCCTGTAAGAGTAAATGAAATCTAGTACGTAAAGAACCTTGCACAATATCAAGCTCACAGTAAGCAGGTGGTAAAATTGTTAGCTGTCATCATCTGGTTCTTGTGAGAGCCCTGCCACTAAGTTGGTTCATCTCAGTCTCATCACTTGAATGATGAGGATAAAGATGCCTGACCTACTTATTATGTAGATCTCATAAGAAAATGGATGTGACACTTGTCTTATGACAAGGCTATTGTGACATGCTACTCTGTGCTGGTGAATGACAGCAAGGCCCCACAAGCTTCCATTAAAAGCTACTGGAACTGGAACATTTTCACAAAGTCCTTTTCTCTTGTGACCAAAGAACTCACCCTAGGAGATGAAAGTATCTATTTTCACCTTTAAGAAAAGGTGAAAACACACCTACCCAATAGCTAAGTAACTCCACTCGGAGGTATACAACTAACAGAAAGAAATGTGTGCTACGTGCAGGGAAAGCTATGTACAAGATTTACCATAGCAGCATTATTTAAGGAGCCCCAAACTGCACATAACCCAAATGTCCATCAGCAGTAGAACAGAGAAATAAACTGCAGTATATTCTTATGATAGTATCTTAAACTTCAGTGAAAATGAGAAAGCTAATGCCACACACAAAGTAGTATACATCTCACAAACACAATGCTGTATGAAGGCAT